CCAGCAGTATGATTCCCAAGATAGAGTATGAACATCAAAAATGCTTTCTCTAAAATGATCCAGGGTAGATATAACTAGCTGTAAATATGATTCAGGTAGCTCCTGCAAACAGGGAAATCCATGGAAAGGGCTCCTGCTTTGTGGAAATCTACTTCTTTTGTAGTTAACAGAAGATAGGGGAAATTTTAGTGATGTTTTTCTTGGAGGCCCAGCACTTAATTTTAGGTCATTGATTGTGAGGAATTGTGAGCAATCCAATGTAAACACGCAAAGCCCTTGTTTATAGTCTTGAAGGAATTTTAGAAAGGGTTGAGTATGAGGAAGCTAGGTGGCACAGTGTATAGAGCACCGGCCCTGATGTCAGGAGGACCTGAGTTCAAATCTGACCTCAGACCAAACACTTGACACTTACTAGCTGTGTGACCCTGGGCAAGTCACTTAACCCCAATTGCCTTAAACAAAAAAAAAAAAAAGAAAAGAAAGGGTTGAGTATACTATAACATTGAGCACTATTACTGAGGTCCTGGAGGTAATTTTCACTCTATAGTTGTAAAATTGGCATCATCCCAAGAGTGAAGGTAAAAGGTTAGATCTAGTGTCAAAAGCAGCCTTTCTTCTTTTTTAAAAAAAATAGATTTTAATGATAACTTGTTTTTATAATTGACTATCTTTCTTCCTATATTTACATTTATATTTACAATTGACTATTTTTCTTACTCCTCCCCTGCCCAAAGAACCATTCTTTATAACAAATAACTTTTAAACAAGAAAAAGAATAGGGGGGAAAAATTCAGCAAAACAGATCAACACATTGAAAAAGTCTGATGTCCTTTGCAATACTGCACAACCACGGCCCCCAACTTCTGCGAAGGAGTGAGAGGAAGTATCTTCTCTTATGACCAAGCTTGTTCTTTAGAATTACACAACATTTCAGTTTCAATTGTTTTGTGGTGGTTGTTCTTTCCATTCACATTGTTGCAATCCTATGTACTGTTTCTCTGGCTCTGCTTATTTCATTTTGCATCAGTTAATGTGAGTCCTTCCATTTTCCTCTATGCTCATCATTTCTCACAACACAGTAATATTATATTCACACTGCTCTTTCCAAAGTTACTGATAATTCTGTGATTGCCAAATCTAATGACCTTTTCTCAATCCTCACCACTCTCTTCCTCTTGACACTCTTTTCTCTCTAGGTTTTTGCTGCACTCCTATATACAGGTTCTCCTCCTACTTGTCTTCTCCTTCTCTGTCTTCTTTGTTCAGTCTTTATCCAGGTCATGCCTGCTAATTCTGGGTGTCCCACAGAACTCTGCCCTGGGCCCTCTTTTCTTTTTTCCTCAATACTATTTTACTTGGTGATCTCATTAGTTCTAATAGATTCAACTGTCATCTCTATGTTTACAATTCTCTAATCAACTTATCTAGCCCTAACCTCTTTTCTGACCTCCAGTCTCATATTTCTACCTGCCTATTGAACATCTCAAATTGGATGTCCCATAGATATCTTAAACCAACACGTCCCAAATTGAACTCATTATTCCACCTACCTACCCTCAAGCCCTCCCCTCTTCCCTATTACTATCAAGGGTACCACCATCCAGTCACCTAGCCTCACAACCTTGGTGTCATCCTTGATTCCTTACTCTCACTTCCCAAAATCCCATCTATTGCCAAGGCCTGCCAATTTTACCTTTTTAACATCTCTTATATTTGCTTCCTTCTGTCTTCTGACACTGCCACTACCTTCATGCAGGCTCTCATCACTTCACTCTTATACTATTACAATAGCCTTCTTTTTGGTCTCCCTGCTAATGACCTTCTTAAAGCATAGGTCTGACCATGTCTTTTTCTCTCTCCCTCCCTCCTCCCACTACACTCTCTCTCTATCTCTCTACCACCATTGCCACCCTCTACTTAATAAACTCCAGTGGTTCCCTATCATCTTTAGGATCAAATATAAAATCCTATGATTTTTAAAGCCTTTATTACCTGCCCTTCCCCTACATTTGCAATATTCTCACACCTTACACCTTCCCATTCCCAAATACTCTGAGGTGCAGTGATGCTGGCCTCCTTACTGTTCCTTCAACAAGACACTGTATCTTCCTATTCTGGGCATTTTCATTGGCTGTACACATGCCTGAAACACTGCTCTCCCTCCTCATCCTCTTCTCCTGGTTTCCCTGGCTTCCTTTAAGTCCTAGCTAAAATTTCACTTTCTACAGGAAGCCTTTCCTAATCCACTTTAATTCAAGTACCTTCACTCCGTTGATCATTTTCAAGTTATCCTGTATATAGCTTGTTTGTACGTAGTTGTTTGTATGTTCTCTCCCCCATTAGATTGTGAGCTCCTTGAAAGCAGGGATTGTCTTTTGCCATTCTTTATAGCCCCAGAACTTAGCACGGTGCCTGGCAAATAGTAGGTACTTTATAAATGTTTATTGACTTTGTACCATAATTTGTTTGGCCATTCCCTAACCAGTGGGCATCTACTTTATTTCCAGTTCTTTGTTATCACAAAAAAAAAAATGAAAAAGAAGTTTTTCTGTGTTCTCTGTACTTGCCTAAACTCAAAGCTTAACTATGGTTGGGGTTAAAGGCCTTTAGTGAAATGAAATTGAAATATAATGCATATGGTAAAATTTTACCATTTTGGACATGGCAACTCTGAAAACTAAAATGATAGCTACTACTGAGTTTTTGCTGTTTTTTTTTTTTGCTATTTTACTATTTGTATGCAACACAAACATCCTCCCAGAATACCTACCACAATTCCAAGCCCATAATAGGTGTTCCATAATTACATGTTGATCAAACTACTTAAAAAACTCAACTTTGTTTTTTTGTAGTCCTATAACATAATTGTTGTTCATAATAATGATCTGGAGGCACTGTAAGATTCTGAATTGTCTCTGAAGTCTCAAGAAAGATCAAATTATGTCAGTATAGTTTTAGGGCTAAGTAGATTTGATTGTACTTAAATTATTTGAAAATTAATCATGAAACTCAAGTATGATAAATTCTTCTTTCTTTTTTTTTCATTAGCTTCCATTTGCTCAATTCTAATTTTTAACAAATTGTTTTCTTCTATTAGATTTTGTACTTCCTTCCACATTTGGCCAATTGTATTTTTTAGGGACTTGTTTTCTTCAGTGTACTTTTTTCCAGTTGGCCAATTGTATTTTTTAAGGACTTGTTTTCTACAGTTAATTTTTGTCCTTCCTTATCCAAGCTATTGACTCTCTCTTGAATACTTCTCATTTCTTTGCCCATTTTTTTCTTCTACCTCTCTTATTTGACTTTTAAAATCCTTCTTGAGGTCTTCTAAGAAGGCTTTTTGGGCTTCAAACCAGTTCATATTCCCTTTTGAGGTTCCAGATGTAGGTTTGTTGACAATGTTGTCCTCTTCAGAATTTCTGCCTTGATCTTCACTCTTCTCATAATAAGAATCTATCGTTTGTTTCTTTTTGCTCATGGTGTTTGCTTATTTCCTGGCCTTTAAAGAGATTGGGCCCTCTGCTCCCCAGCAGGAGAGGGAATCAGAAACGCTGGAACTCTAGGGGTAGGATTGGGTAGTGTGGCTCCTGGAAATTTCCTGCTCACCCAGGCCTTTCCTTCCTTTTGCTTTCTTTAGCTCCTTTCAGATGGATGTTGTAGGTGTTTATCCACCTGGGGCCCCTTGGAGCTCTGCTTCTCTTAGTTTTGCTGAGGCACTGGGAGAGTCCGTTGCTGTAGAATGCCGAGACACCTGGTGGTTTTCTGAGCTGGTTTCCACCAGTTCCCCCGCCCTCAATGAGGCATTTGGGGGTCCAGGTGTTGGTGTTTGCCTGCTCCACCACCTGGGCTTCAGGATCTCCTCCTGGTATGCTGAGGTGGGGCTTTCTGCTAGCTTGCTGGGGTGCCTCATGTTCTGTACTGCTCCCCTTCCCCCAGGGTAAGAGGGGCCTTTCCAGTTAATCCCTCAAGCTACCTGGCCTACTGGACTGCTGCACCCCATCTTTCTTCTGGTTTTGCTGTTCCAGGGTTTTTCCTGGGGGATATTTTCTGGGCTTTCAGGGGTTAATAAAGGAGGGTAAGAGAGACTCACCTCTTACTCCGCTATCTTGGCTCCCGGAAGCAGAAGTCTCAAGTATGGTAAATTCTTAAACTAAACATTCAGGTCACTATCTTATCACCTAAAATTTATGAAATAATCTACTTTGTGAAAGACACTACACTGTATGGGAATGCCAGATGTCAGAAATAGCTTTGCCGTTTAATTGAGGGAACAAGACATATAAAGATAATAACCCATTCCAAGTACCAAATGAGTACAGTCCTGCACATAGGACCACACCAACACAAATGCCCTTTAAGGTTGTGTGTAACCTCTTCTTTGGCAGTCAGAAACAACATGGTGATTTCAAAGATTATAGAATCTCAGAGTTGGAAGGGACCTTAGTGGCCTCCTAGTCTAATTCAGACCATGCTAGGGATTCTGAGGGGTGGAGATGAAGACAGAGTATATCCCAGGCATAGGGGAAAACCTGGGCAGAAATACCAGAGACAGGAGATGGAATGTTATGTGTGAATCACAAGGAGTCCTATATGGCTAGACCATAGAGTGTGCAGAGATTTATAGGTAACAGAGCTAGAAAATGATGCTGGAGCCATATGATGAAGGAACTTAAATGCCAAACAGAGAAGCTTATATTTGATAGAGGAAATAGGGGGAGCCATGGTAACTTCCTAAGACAAGGCTGTGACGTGGTCATACCTATGTTTTAGAAATAGTATTTTGGCCGCTTTATGGAGTATGGAGTGGAAAAAGGCAAGGCTGGAGGAAAAAAAAATCAATAACTATCATTTAGATCAATTAGGATAATATGGTAGCAATCCAATCAAGAAGTGTTGAGAGCCTGAACTATCATGGTAGCTAGGTAAGTGAAGAGAATGGGATGTATGTTAAATGTAGCAATAAACATACAATATTTCCTTCTTTTTTCTTCCTCCAACAGGCTGTCAGCGATCCATAGGTCTGTCCAATGGAAAAGCCAAGGTGTGCAGTTATAGTGGATGGTATTACTGCAGTAGCTGTCATGTGGATGACCATTTTCTTATCCCAGCACGGATAGTTCACAACTGGGATATTTCAAAATATAAGGTAGTTGCTAAAATAAAAAATTTCTTACAGCATATTGGATATTTGTACAATACAAAATAGATAATAATAATATAACATAAATTTAAGTAAGCTCAAATATTCATTTAAAATCTATAGCATCTTTTCTAATGCTTTTTTTTTTTGGTTAAGGCAATTGGGGTCAAGTGACTTGCCCAAGGTCACACAGCTAGTACGTGTCAAGTGTTTGGTGTGAGGCTGGATTTGAACTCAGGTCCTCCTGATTTCAGGGCCAGTGCTCTATCCACTATGCCATCTAGCTGCCCCTAATGCTTTCTAAAAACCTATTTCCAGTTTAACTTTCTATAGCCAGACTTCTGGCATGTCATTGTTTTATGATCTTAATTTGCTCATGTAAAATTATACCTATAATTTATTTTCATTCATAAAGTCTTGCAATTAATTCCAAGTGTCAAAAGAGAATACTGGTAGAGATATTTCTTTTCTTTTTATTAGATGTTAGTATCCCCCACATCATAGAACTTTTTAAAAAGAGTAAAAATGAAGTGATACCATATGTGTGAACATGCCAGTGATCTTTGAAAGAAAGCCCCTGTATAAATCCAAGGTATTTTTATATCTTAAAAGGGACTCTTTTGAAATCCAACTGGTTGAATCATTTAGATTCTTATAAGCCTTGATCACAATTACCATCAGTGGGCATTTTGCAAGGATGAGTGAATGGAAGAACAAGAAGATATACAGTATTTGGAAGTTGAGGAAAGAAATCTCATTTAAGTATCAGAACAAATACCTATAGCTGATAAGAGACTTCAAAACAAAGTATTTTCTCTTGATCTTTTCCTCTTCCATTTAGCCTAAAAGAATTCCACTGTACGTCTGGCCATATATTTCCATTTCTCAGTTTCACAGGTTTGAGTATTTCCTTGCTTCCTTGGCAGCTTCTCCCATAGGGCTAGTCTGGGGAAAGAGATAGAAGTCCACATTCGGTTATGAAGCACTCTATCCAGGAGTCAAAACAGTGCTCCCAGAAATTTCACACCATGTTTTTGTATTTTGTGACTAAAGAGGTCCTGCTTAATGTGAACCAATTAGTATTGGATCATTTTTAATATGGTAGCACTTTACTATTCCTCAAAGGTCAGACTTCTGTAGAACAGCCATCCAGTATACATGTTTGAGGGCAGCTGGATGGCTCAGTCAATAAAATACTGGGCCTGGAGTCAGGAAGACCTGAGCTCAAAGTCAGCATCAGACACTTACTAGTTATGTGGCCCTGGGCAAGTCATTTAACCTTTGATTGCCCTAATCCCCTGGAAGAGGAAATGGTAAATCACTCTAGCATCCTTTCCAAGAGAACTTCATGGACAGTGTGGTCCATGGGGTCACAGAGTCAGGCGTGCCTCAACAACAACAAAAGTACAGATTTAAACCTAGAAAGGCAAAAGCATAAAAGTAGTAGGGACATAGGAGGCATGTAGAGCCACCTGGAACCACTCAGTTCAGCATTTTTTTTCAAGTGCTCACTAAGGAGCTGACCTGGAGGCTTTAGGGATAGAGAGGTGAAAAACATAGACTCTGTCCTCAAGAATCTTATAGCTTTGCTAGACAAATGTGTATAAAGCAGCAGGAGAGAAACATCTAAGATGTAGGGATAGAGCCTCAAAGTGATGGCTAAGAGGGGAAGAAGACAAAGTTCTCCATGCAAGAGCCAGGATCTATAAACACCCCAGCAGCCTCACAGGACATCACTGTTTTATAGCAATTTTGTAGTTAACATACCTGATGACCTGCAGGCATCAAGAAAAGGTGAAATGATGTTCAACTTAGTATGTTTGAGAAGGCAAAATATTATATCATGTATTTTAGAAAGAGTTCCATTTGAAATGCTAGAATTTTTAAAGTTTTTATATTTTTTTGAGTTTCAGATATGTACAAAATTTACTTATAAGGAATAGTTCATACCCAATGATTCCAGATGAATCAGTCTTTCCAGTTCTATAATAATAACTCAGACTTATATGCAGGTAAAATGTCAGTAATCAATACTTGTAAAAGTCATATAGTTTTTAAAGTAATAAGATTTTAAAATTCATATATGGCATTACATTTTCTGCAGCGCTCAGAAGAACTTATGAAATGCAGAGCAGTGTATTGAATAGTATTCCATGTGATTTAAGAACTAACAGAATTTTGAAATTCAGGAGGTATTTGGCTCCAGAAAGCTGTTTAGACTATATTTAAACTACATAGCATCTTTCCCTCAAGTCAACAAGCATTTATTAAGTGCCTATGTGCCATTATGCTAAACTAAAACCAAAAGTTTTTAAAAATGTATCTTCTATATTCTCTTTACCTAATTATCAAGGGAAAAACTTGTGTAGGTGATACAGTGGTGTGTGTGTGTGTGTGTGTGTGTGTGTGTGGAGTTTTACTAAATCTGTAACGTAAATTTAAATAATGAACCCCTCCAAGCAAAATTTTCTAAAAGGTTTTCTAAAAACCTACTAATTGTTACTTTATTCTAATTGCATATTTTTCTCTATCACGCATCCCCCTCACCACCAGTTTTGAAGAGAAAATACAGGTTAACTTTTCTCCCACTCCCTTCCTTTGGTTGTCAGCAGCAACAGCAATCAGTTACTCTAAAGGCTTGAGTAGAGCAGTTGAAGTTAATGATCCATTTGCATAAAGATAAAGGTAAAGTACTAAAGTTGGGAACCTAGCCAAGACTTCATAATAAATAATTATGCTTAGATTTTACCACATTATCAGCTAGAAAGATCATTTTTGCTCACATATGGCACCTAACTAGACTGGCTGCTTCCTGAATGAGTCCATTGATCATGGTACCTTATAGCAAGACTACATACTGATAAAAAGCTGAGTCCAAAATTGAAAAGAGCCTCAATTTGGGGGGTAGATTGCATTTGGGGTGTTTTACAGTACTTTTATTGAGGTTGCCCTCAACAAAAACCTATCTCATTGTTGAGAGACCAGCAAGGATGGAACCATGAGAAGAAACAGTATATCCCAGCCCTCTCCCACAAATACTCCAACAAAGATCAAGGAAGAACACCAGACCAAGTAGCAGCCCAGAAATCCAAGGAGAAACCACAGTGAGTCATTTTTCCAGCCTATGTCAGTATAAGGAGATAGCCAGAGGCTTGTGGAAACAGGCAGAGGCCTGTGAACGCTGGGAAGGGAGTCTGACCAGGGATGCCATACAGAGTCTTCCAGCAGGCAACCGAGTGGGGCTGTGTACTGGGACAAGGATCAGGGTTATGGATCTGGAATGGATGGGGTCTGAGGTTGCATACTGCAAAGATCACAAACAGGAGCCAGCCAGCAGCTTTATCCTCAGACCCCCATCCCCCAGCTCGGTAAGATTTGTCATGGACTGAGGGAGCTGACAGGAAGGGGAGGAGAAAAAGAAGAAACAAGAGCTGCATGGTTTTGACTCAGGATTGGGGTTGTGGATTCAGTCATTTAGACCTTCAACAAGCATTTATTAAGCACCAAATATTGTGCTAAGTTCTGGGGATACAAAGAAAGACAAAAACTGAAATCAAAAAACCAGTCTCGAGGGCTTCCAAAACATAGATCAGGAAGGCAGAGATCAGACTTTGCCTCAGATCATATCATCTAGGGCATGCTAAAAGTTTGCAGGTCCCTGGACTGAGACACCCCTGAGATCCTTAAAGAACACTGCACTGAATTTTGAGAAAAAGCAGCAGCAGGACCCCAGAGAATATAGATTAGAACCAAACAAGGCCCTGAAATTTTCTCCAGAAGCACTCAGAGCCTGCCCTAACCCAAAATTTCAATTTGGGAAATGAAGCTAGAAGAATGAGTAAATAAACAAAAAAGACAGCCATACTAAAAAGCTGTTATGGAACCAGGAATGCCCAAGATGCAAACCTCGAAGAGAATAACTAACTCCACAACATCTACAAGCAATACCTAAAACAGCAACAACAAAAACCACACAGGTTGGTCACAAGCTCACCTAGAATTCCTAGAAGAAATGAAGCAAAAGTTTTTAAACATTACATTATAAATGAAATTAGCATTCTTGAGGAAAGAATTGGAAAAGAAATGAAATCACTAAGATTGGAAGGAGATTTAACAGCTTAGTACAAAAGGGAAAAAACTTTACTAAGTAACAAATTCCCTGAAAATTTGAATTGACCAAACAGAAGCTAGTGACTCCATGAGAGAACAAGTAATATTAAAACATAGTCAAAAGGCTTCAAAAAGTAGGAAAGAATAGAAAGTACCTCAGATTAAAAAAAAAATCTGGCTTGGAAAATAGGTCAAAGAAAAAAAAATCTTAAGAATTATTGGACAACCTGAAAGTCATGACCGAAAAGAAGATCCTGGATACTATGTTTCAAGAAATAATAAATGAAAACTGACCAGACCTATTAGAACCAGAGGGCAAAGTAAAAACAATTTACTAATCACCAACTGAAATAAACCTCTAAAGGAATACTTGTGGTGAAAAATTCAAAGCTTCCATCCTACACTGTTAAGTGTAGAGAAAGAATTCAGGTATCAAGGAGCCACAGTCAGGATTACACAAAATTTGACTTAAACTGCTTTAAAGAAAAGGAGAGCTTGGAACAAAATACCCTAAAAGGCAAAAGATATAGACATACAACCAAGGACAACTTACTTATCAAAACTGAGTATAATCCTTTGGGAGAAAAATGGATCTTTAATGAAATAGGGGACTTGTAGATATGCCTGATAAAAAAACAGACCTGAATAGAAACTTTGAAATGCAAACAGGAATTAAGAGAAATATAAGAAGGTAAATACAATATAAATGAGAATTTGGAAAAGGCAATGAAAGAATGGAGAGTTTATATTCTAATAGTGGTGGAAAAAATATGTCCCCTCAGAACCTTAATGGCATAAAGGATTATAGAGGGAGTTAAGTGAGACAAAAGACTTGAAAGTAAATTTGTTATGTTTTGATGATCTTAAAGGAATAAAGTAAAAAGGAGGGGAAAAGG